ATAAACATAGCTAGGATATTTCTAATCTCACTACATCATAAAATATATTCAAGAAAGGTCAACCAAAATATATTTGTTTTCTGAGCCCTCAATAACTTTTAAAACCTTGCCAAATGACAAACTATTTCCCACCACTGTCTCAAGATATTTTCATGAGAAAGTAAGTGTTGAAGTAATTTCTGTTTATGAAAATCTACCAAACCCCCTTACTTTAAACGAAAACATCGCATTATAGATGCAATCTTTGGTGGAGCACGAAAGCATGCCTTTTCATAAAACTCATCTAAATCCTTAGGAGAATATCGATAAGCCCAATTAAGAGCTTCTCTGTACAATTGGATCAAACCATAATCATCGTCACTTGCCTAACAATAATACTGTTTAACAAAACGATCCGAGCAACTTTAATTCAAGTTTTCTCATTTTTCAAATATTTTTGTTACAACAAAATAACGCTCGTAAAGAAGTAATTTGTAGCCTCATTAAATACTTCATGTATTGCTTGAGTATTAGATAAAACATAAAAGATACTACTGTCTACTGGTTAAAATACCCTAATTAATTTGAAAGAATTAAGATAACCAATAACTTCACCTCCCTCAAAAGCATGTCTGAAAGCCATTTAAAGGTACACTTCATGTTTTATCTAATACTCGCGGATTTTCTGATCTTGATATTTTAATCAACTTTTAATGCTGATCCTTTAAAAGCTTAATAGATTGGTCTGACAGGAATAAAATACGATGTAATCACTTTAATAAATCTTTGTTATGCTGGTGAAAGGTAATACACAGAACTTGAATATGAACCTTTTTTGTAGCCTCATTAAATACTTCACGTATTGCTTGAGCATTAGAACTACCAGATTCTATTTTGCAGTGTAGTAACATCATCCAAAAAAATGCATTTTTCGGATTGTTCTTCAATAATTTATTTAATATATTCTCTTTTTCAACGATATCATCTGTTATTTGATTGAATTTCACAACATCTGACTCTGTTGCATGTCCCTCAATTATTAACCAAAAGAGGTGCTTATGACATCTTTTTTTTGCTTCTGGATCACCTGAAATCTTCGCTACTTTATAACTTGATGCAATTAAAATACTGACGAAATCAAAGTGCTTTCACTTCTTAGCAGCTCACGTTTCAGCAATTAAACAAAAGGAAGAATGGCTTCCTGAAGAACTGAAATGCTGAACTTTTCAGATTAAAATGTAAGAAACTAACGATCACGAATATAATATCTCATAGAATGAGATAAACAGTGTCGATACATTTTCTCCGTAGGAATATTTGCACATGCCTTATCGAATAATTTATAAAGAGCTTTCCTATCCTGAAAAGTTTGCTGATACAGTCAAGAATTCGTGAGCATTCAAATTAATTTCGAAATCATGTTTTGTATGTTACATCACTTTAATTTGACTTACGCTCTTAAACAAAAATTTGTCATAAAAAAGTGATAACTGAAATGACCTGAAAGAGTAAGTTTCGGTAGATGTCTAACTTAATGATTATGGTATTAATAATTGAGGCAAAATTTTTTCAAGTAACATGCCAAGAAATTACTTAATGCAAGGTAAATAAAATTATTTACATTACTAATCATTTGTGATTTTGCAATCCAACTTTCTTCGCTCATAAAATTTGGAGACCACAACATTTCATACAATTTCTTAGTAAGGCAAGATGTCAGTGAGCCGTATTTTTTTGAGATCCTCCAGAAAATCAGCAGTAAAGCTATAATTATCATATGTAAGAAGCACATACATAAAAGATGTATCAGACATTTAAAGGGTACCAGATGTATTTTCTGGGTACTTACATGGCTGCAGCCTCATAATTAAAAAGTGTTGAATAACTTTCAATATCCATTCATAGAAAATTATAGCTACAAAAAGTATTATAAAACGAACTTACGCTTTTTCTCTTTTTCACAACATGTAAGAGCCTGCTGAATGATTGTTTCAATTACTTGAAAGTTTAATATTGCATCCTGTACGTTTTTATCTTTCAATTTTTCTTCTTTTGCAGCTTTTGATTTGTTGTCAGTGACTGAAGAATGATATTCTTCTCCCACCAATATACTCTTTCGAGTAATCAACCTAAAAAGGTTGTAAGCACAAGAATGTTTACATGAGTCTTCTATGATTTGTATAAATAACAGCAGACATTTTTGTAGAGATAATCTGAACACAATCTATCTTGACTGTAAAAATGCTTTTCACTTCCTCAGTAATAAAAAAAGATCTTAGAAGATGACAAAACTGACCATTTCACGTAATCTAATTCCAGTTTGACAAAACTGGCCCATAACTTGGTTTCTAATGGACATATGCGTATGCCTTCTTGCAATATGCAACGCGAACATTCTATTCGATGATCTACTGAATATTCGAATCGAGCCGCTTGAATGCGAATCGTAACATTTCTGGGAAAAATCTTAAAAAAAAGCAACTCTAAATTCATAGTCATGAACAGAAAGCATAAAGCGTTAATAATAACCATCGTCACCCTATTTTCAACAGATTAAAGAATGTTGACATGACGAATACACATTGAAACCCTATTTCGCGTTTTATCTCCTTAATTTCGGTCCTCAACAGCCTAAGAAACTTAATAAAGGTAAAAGATAGACCATAAAAATATACCTGTAACATACGTGAATATGTGTTACTGCACTCGACATACATTTTTTCTTCTTTCGTAAATGCAATCAATTGAAGCCAATTACTTTCTTCTAACTGAAATTAAAATAGTTTGAATAAATGAGTCGCAAATAATACTGAAAATTATTTGGAGTAAAAGTGGTGATTCCTGGCGACAACCATATGACAAAAAATTAACTAAAAAATCTGTTGATAGAAAATAGTAGAAAAAGATATTTCACATGATACCTTGAACTTTTCACAACATCCTCGAAGCAAAGAAACAATCTTCGCCTTTATAATGTCTTCAATTCTGTCTTTTTCAGAATGATTATTTAATCGCTTCCGTCGGATTCGGATAAATTCCAAAGCTGACTTTAAGTAACTGGTGTAGATGGTGAATGATGAGGAAATTTTTTGCTGTAAAATAATTTACAATGTATTAAAAATTGACACAGATCTTCCATCAAAGCTATCATTTTTTGAGCTGTCGAAATATTAATCAACAGCAATGAATAAAACACACGCACTTATTTTCAGATTCCATAACTAATACTGTTTTGTAATATAAGACAAAAATAGACTAACAGATTTCTGAATTCGATATTCGAAAAACTGACAACGCTTGATAAACGCATCAACTTCAGAACCTGACAACAACTGAATACCTTTCAGTGTCTCAAATACAGGAAGGAGTCCTTCGATATATTCCTCAACGAACTCACTCATCCTTCTTCACGAATTTTATCAGGCTCTCTACCAATAACACCCTATAAAAATGTATCCGAATATTTAAATTTCTATAAAATAAGGAACAACAAATACGACAACACAGAAAATATTAGAAAGTGTTTGCACTTTCAATTTAAAAAACCAGAAATTTTAAATGAACCTTACTTCACTGAAATAACAAAAGCAATTGAAATTACGTAATATCAGATGATGTAATAATTCCATGGGAATATAATGAAAAGCGATATGAACTTAATGCACCTATAGTCAATTATCAGATGAAAAACACGGTTAACGTATTAACCGTATTTTTCATCTGATGATTGATTATCTACGTTTGGCATTTACTTCACTGAATTACGCCAAAACTTGTCAGAATCTTAAGTAACCGAAAATAATTTATTTGTGCTAAAACTTTATGTACAAACGAGAAAAGTACCGCGGTTCCTGCAGTGGACATATTTTCACAATCTAGTCAAGTGTTAAAAATTAACGCGGTCTTCGTTGTTTGAATTATAACATTAATTTATATGATTGATCATTAAATTAAATTACAATAGGATGCAGTTAGCAACAGTAAAAAATAAGACCTGAAATTCTAGGACAGATGTAAAATTCTGTTTTTGTGCAGCAGTTGCGAGAGAAGGAAACTGAGGGTGACTTCAGAGTGGTAAAAATCTTGAAGGAGACGTGGAAACAAAAACGTTGCTTCTGAGCGGAATTATTTCAAATGACTCATTGGTGCTAAATGAATTCCAGTCTTGCATTGTTGAACTTCAGCTTTATTCGGTATTTACTACTGATAACAACTTTTTGAGTTTATTACCATTCAAATCATATTATTATACAGTTTATGAAAGTTAATGTAAGTTAGATGACAGATTAGTTACTAGCGTGTTCTTTTTTTTCTTTGTTCTGTTTTGACCCTACCACCATTGACATTAGTTCTCGTACTTGTTGTCAATGTTCCAGTTTCATTAACAACAGTATGTCTTGGTTTCTGACTACTGCTTGATGCAGAAGAAGTGAACGACATCAGGTACGGTCCTGACTCATCTGAACTTGACTCCGAATCATCGAAGCTGACCGCTGGAAATTGAAATGTTGGAAATGGCTCATAAAATCATATCTTTTGTAGTAAAGGTCACATATAGTAAAAACCAGTAACATTTTACAGTAATTGTCGAGTGATTTTTCTGTACTGTTTGTGCTAATAATTTTCTAATATATTTCATGTTTATTATTGATATTTCTATATTAATTATTTAAAAAGAGATGGCTGAGGTAGAAAGCATCACAAATAATATACCTCAATTATTAAATCTCTTTGCTTTTGTAATTTCTAAACAATCAAAAACCTTTTTTGACAAATTCAAACTTTTATCGTTATTTTTGTTTTTCAGAATTGGCTAATTACATCAAATTATAATTATACAAATATTTATTAATCATCGTGTCTGAAAATAACTTCATTTGACAATTAGTGCTATTATTAGACTGCTGTTTTATTAACTAATAATTGTAATTTATCCTTACTATGATATCTCTTAAATTCATCGAAGTCAGAAACTTCATCGTCGATGAAGCTAAATGTAGTCGAACTTGGAGCACTTTCAATATCAGTATCTTCAAATTCTGAATAACTAGAGATACCATTTAATTGAGTGCTTGTTTCATTGCTCAGTTCCGATGTATCATTCTGATAACTTGTATCATTTGTTAGTTCGCTCACGATGAATGATAGCATTTCAGAGTTCTCTCTGTCCTGCTTATCTGCACAAAATGGACAAAACCAGTCGCCTTCAGGAATAGTGTCCAGTTTCTCTGGTAGACAATAGCTGTGATAAGCAACATTGCAACGGATTGCAGACCCATCTAAATTTCTGCCCACCACTCCGTCGCACAGTAGTAAAAGATGCTCATTATCCGACTTGCCACACATTCGGCACTTTGCGTACTTAATTGTGATATCTTCGTTTTCATGTGATAATCCGCCATCGTTCATTTCTTCTATCAAATCTCGCATAGCCAGCTTGAAAAGAATTTTCTTAGAATTTAGAACTTATACAAGAAACGATAATCCGGATGTCCACAATGAATCAATCATCTTACTTTATGATCATCTAAACAATAATGTATGAC